TAGTTCAGAGGATCCACATTCAATTACCTTCGTTCCTCAATGAATATTTTGAAAGGGTAGTGTGATGCATAATGAGAGGAGGGGCTTCGTGGCATTCAGTGACTTCGCTGCTCAGTCAGCTATAGGCATTTCTTCAGCAAAATGTATTTGAGCTCTAGAGACCTTTGGGGTTTTAGATACTTAATTGCAGTGTTTGTTGAAAAGGTACTTCTAGTACTGCTCTTATTCTGCTTAACTTCTCTTGAAAACCTAAATGAGCCAGCTAGCAAAATCCCCTTGTGGACTGAGCTGTTTAGGCTCATAGGTGCCCCTGGTGTGCAACAGGAAGTTGAAGGATTTAAAATTTAAATATAGGCACCAACAGTGACAGTTGAATAAAATTATCACCTAAACTGTTTGTGGCTCTTGCCTTTAGTCTTTCAGCTCTCTTTCTCCAGCACTGGGACAATAGCACAATAAACCAGAGATGTTTTAAGATGCATTTATGCTGTGTTAACAAAGTAAAGCATGAGACACATAAAAAACCTGTGTTTATAGCACCTGTGTTTATAGTAGATAGCAGGAATTTTCCCTTTTCTTATTTCTAAACTCAATGAAGTCTCAACATTATTTCTTTGCTGAAATCTAGGATTTTCCAGAAGTTCATTGAAACAAACTTATCAATATCTACAGAATTTGAACTCCTCGATCATTTTAATCATCGTATTTCCATCCTAGCTCAGTGATAGCTCTTCTAAACTTAATTTCTTTATTGGGCAAATACTTCTAAGGTAGCTCACCATTTAATCAGCAGGACTAAGTTGTACAAATTGAACCTGTAACATAGTATCAAAATTGTCATAATGCTTTCAATGACTTCCCTAAAAATGACATCTCTAACATGGAGGCTATACCAAATGCCTAGAGTACACAAACATTTTCTGCAGCACAGAAAGATTATATAAACAGCAATGACTTATCTGTTTCTGCATGCTGCTATGTGAGAGAAAATGGAGGGCAAATTTTCAAAAAAAAAAATTTTCAAAAAAAAAGTTTCAGCCACAAGTGACTACTAAGTGTTTTTGGTGTATGGACACAGATCCATGTGTAGGAGAAGGCTATGTGACTTAGTGTCTGTATTTATACTTAGTTTCTTTCATGAATGCAAAAGTTCTCCCCTTTATAAACTGTTCAAATAACATTAAAAAAAAATAAATATAAAATATTCTTGACGACGGATCTTCCATCTGCTGAAGTCACATGAAAACAGTGTGCCTTTACTTTAGTCATGACATAACTACATTACATACTTCATACTGGATATCAGGGCCAATAGTGATGATCCCTTAAGAAAACTAAAACTGTGATTGAAGTACACAGAGAGTATTAGAGGATTTTGCTCTGAATCACCTTTAAGAATAACCTACCTCTCTGAAGACTCAAGAGTGAGCACAGCAACTGAGCTGAAGTTACAGTAGCAAACAAGCCACTGTGTTGAAGAAAAAAATTACATTCCAACATAGATTGCCCACATGGGGGAGGTACAGTTATTCTGCAATGGCTCTCTTGGTCTACTTTCCTTTTGCAGCTATGGGTTTTACATACATTTTCTATTTTTCCAACACCTGTACTTTATTGTTTGAATGATTCAATATAAGGTTTACATTTTACGCAAAGAAAAAATACTAAAAGCCATTCTCAATAGCGCTGTTGCTGTTGGGTCATGTTGAGAAAAAAAAGGGGCTGTAGAACTGATCAACAGTTATTCCCACTGGATATGTGTTTGCTTGCTATCTACATGGAAGCATGTTTGTTCTGGGAGACCAAAGACAACCAAAGTGTTACTGCAGCTTCAGAGGAGGAACTCACGGTATATTACAGTCACACTTGTGACCCCTATTACTCCATCACACTCTTCTTTTGGCAAGCAGGCAGTTTGCCTTTACAGAAAGCAAAGCACTGGATCATTTAGTGGTACTGGTATACTGGATGCCACCAGTACCAAGCTCAGGCTTTTGCACCAAGGGCTAGATGCCTTTCCCCTCTAGGCTTTGCCTATAAGCCAAGGACGACAGTCTTTCTTTTCTCACTTCCCAGACACACAAGTCCAGTCATTCCTCACTTTGCAACCCAGAAGCACTCCTTGGGCACTGCTACTAAGTTTCTACTTTTGATTACTTCAAAGACCCTTTAGAGTACCCACTCATTGCAAGGTGTAAATATTAATATACTTTCTATTCTAGGCATTTCTGAAATGTCTTTGTTGATATTTCACATAATGCTTTGCCCTTGTTTTTCTAAGCAGATTTTATTCTCCTGCAGTAGAACAATGTTTATCACAACAGGAGATAAAAGTCAACAGTGATTTACAAGGCAGTGACACAGAAAAAACAGAACTACTGTGTTGGAGGAACTCAAAACTTTCTATCCTTTATGATTTTTGACCAGGATAGTTAGGTATTCTTGTTGAAATAGTCTATCACATGCAGAAAGAACATTTTAACACAATGTATTTATTTCTGAAGGGAGTAAAAACATAATGAGGTACTGAATTTGATGATTCTGAGGACTCTGCTGCAATCTAGATACCTAAAAAGAGTAATGGAGTAAAGATTTTTTGTATATTTCTAAAATGAATAAACATGCAGAGAAACAGCGAGATAAAACAGAGCCACTGGACTAGTATGCAGATGTGAGTATCATACAGAACAGAAAATTAACAAAGCTAACAGGAATGATTCCCAATCACAATGATCCTCAACTATAACACTACTAAAAAGACACCCAATCTTCACATTTTGAAAAGTAAGTTGCCTGTTCACATGAACTTTACCTCCACCTACTATATCAGATGTGATTCTTGATAGAACTGGAGAAAATAAGAAGTTAAGAAATAAGGTATAAAATCTAGCATAAAAATAAGATGTTCAGAGGATCATCGTTGGGTATTTTCAAGACCCAGCTGATCAAAGTCTCGAGCTGACAGCTGACCCCACTTTGAGCAAGTGGTTGGACTGGATGACCTCCAGCATGTTCTTTCAATCAAAGCTGATTTATGATTCTACAAACATTCCTGCTTTTGCTTAAATCCAGCTTACTATCATTCATTCTTACAGATGCAAATTGGACAGTATGACTGTTTTTAAATTATCATTTATTTAATTTAAATAATTTAAGCAATTTAAATCTTAAATTAAATATGATTCCTGTGCAGTTGCATAATGTTAGTTTGTTTTTCTGGATGCATCCTTTTTTTTAAGGAATTAATTCCAGTTCCTTCTTTTGCTGCTAGTCAAATGATTTCTGAAGACTGCTCTTATGAAATTACAGACTCATTACATTTAGTAATGATATAAAATAAATATGCTAAGTCTATCTGTCGCAGATCATCAAAGACAAAACTGTGCAGCAGTGTGGAGCTGAATGCTTTTGGGAAACAGCAGAACTGCTTCACAGCAGTTCATCTTTGACTGCAGTGTGATCTTCATGGGGAAATACATAAGACTTTTTTAAATGTGGATTTTAATTGAATAAAAATAGCTGTGTTAAAACTGTATATTTTTCATCAGCAAATTACATCTTGCCAGTTATGAATGGGCAGCCACAAATTCATTTAAATACATGGAGGGGAACACAGTGCAACCACATGCTTGATATTGCTTTCTGCTAATGGTGAAAGATAAAATTCTTTCCGTTCTCAGCACAACTGATTTTCCAGCAAACTTAGAACTTAGGAAACGCAGTTCTTCAGAAGCTATGAAAAACAGATGAAAATGAAAGATCTCAAAGTTTGACAGATGTTTGTAAGAGTCTGAACCTTACTGCCTCTTCAAATCTTACCTGTTATAAATAAATTTATCCAAACAGAAATGAGAACACTGCCTACAAAACAACAGACAGTGCTACGGCATTTAGTAAAGGAAGGAGAATCAAGCAATGATTGAAAGCAAGAAATTGGCTAAAGCAAGCAATATCTGTTCATGCTTGCTTGGAATAGTTCTCTGTTACTATCTTCAGTCTTGAAGATAACTGACATGTATTTTCACAGAATGATTTAATTTAGGTTTAATTCCACAGAAATTGAGGTTTTGCAAAACAAACAACAAAAACAACAACAACAAAAAACCCACTTATTGAGAGAGATGAGACATAAGAAAACAAAGAAGTGACCCCAACTTCTTTAATTTCATATAAAGTTCATCAGCTATTTTTCAGCTCTTCAAAATGTTATCATGGCACTCACTATTCTGGAATGCCAATAACCTTTTCTCCTTTCATTATGCATCCATTTATATACAAGATTTCTGAGCCTAATCACTAGGGCTAAAAAACACAACGCATCCATTATGCCTCTGCATTTAGTGGGAGAGAACCAGTGCTACATAAATTTATTCTATGAAGGTCAGTGAAGGTCAGTGACCAAAGAACTTTTTGGAAAAGCTTCAGCTGCAGTTTCCATTTTACTGTCTATGCTCCAACTGCTCCACAGAGTAAAATTTGTTCCTACTACTGAGTAGGCTGTCATGAATGTGGCAGTGAGAGGCTGAAGGACCCAATGTGCTCACTAACTACGAGAAATTAGGAGAGAAAAGAATCTGATGTTTACAGAACAAGTGTGTCTTTATAGTTACAATGCCACCCAGATCTCTCTGCAGTAAAATTGTTTTTGATAAAGCAATGGGTATAGGGAGAAAACATGAATTTTGTTATGATTTCTACTTCTCATGTAGTCCTTCAAAAGAATTTTAAAGCAGGATAAAGAAAATAGGAACAAGGGCTCAATTTCTAAAACAATTCCTTTGACCCTTCTTAACTATTTTTTTTTTATGGATGAAGTGAAATAGGACAGTGTTGCATGGCTAAAGAATGCAAGTAAGGTCTACCAGTATGTATGTGAATGAATGTTTGTAAACCCCAAATATAACATCTCTCTGTGCTGAGTGAGCAGTTGGAAATGTTTTTGTATATCCTTTGAGCACAGCTGCATATACATGTCAAAAAAGAAAAATCCTTTTCTTTACCTTTGGAGTTTGCTGCACCAGCTGCAGTTGAAACCAATCTGGGCAGTGACACAGGGACCACAGCTGTTAAACTGGAGACAAGCTGGGAAGCAGGTAAGTAAACACAAATTATTACTGTAGTCTAACAAATAATTATCACAGAAAGTATGAGAGAAGGATACATCTTTTGACTTTATATATGTAGGGAATATACAGGTTCACAGATTTTCAAAATAACAGACTAAAACCAGCCTACTATAAGGCAGTGCACAGAGAAACATCTTATCTGTAGGATTTCATTTGTATGCATTTGTAAATGTAATCTCACTTCCACAACAGCTCTTTCAGCTTAATTGCCAGAGTTTTTATCTTTCTATAAATTATTTAATATTTCATTAAACTTTTCTTCCCTGGCTTCAGTGTTTTTTGGTGTTGCTATCATATAGACACATACAGACAATAAGATCGGCAGGAAAGTGTACAAGAAATACAATCAGATTAGAAAAAAATGAAAGATAGTTTCCAGTTTCTTTTTTTCACAACAGTACAGCTGGTAGTTTAAACTCCAATATCACTAAACATCACTTTGAACAAAAGAGATGAACGAATTGCAAAATGTGTTTGGGGATGTTCCTTTCAGATGTGATGCAAAGTACTTAGTAGTATTTGTGCTTGTTTAGCAAGCATGAAAATTGCTCTATTTTCTTGAGGAAAAGAATTTAAAGGCAATATGAGCATTCTTTTGAAAAATTATTTGGCACAGATTTCACTCACAACCTAATGGGAGCTGTGTACCTACAAACTAACTTAAGATACATGAAGATGCATTGGATAATGCATCAATCAGCTGAGAATAAATCTGAGAGAAGATAAATGAATCTGTCCCTACTCCAAATTCACAGGTAAAACAAAATATTTAAAATTGTATGTGTGTTGCAGCTGAGGCTGTACCCCAGATCTGGCTCCTTCACATTCTACAGTTTACTTACTTGGAAGAGGTATCATTTCAACAGCTGACAGATTTGTAATCTTTGACATCTGAAGCTCCACCCTGTGGTATTCGTAAATTGTTCTTCTGCGAACATCTACCAGGAAAGAAAAATAAAATATTTTCATACTCTATTATTTTGCAGTCTGTAGACTGTGAAAAATAGTGGATATATTGATTGCTCACAGTACCTTAGTTGAACATGACACCAATTTTCCTCAAGGATAAGTATTTAACTTTACACATTTTGAAGGAATATGTAAAAGCTATTGATAGGAAGTGTTGACAAAATAGGTACCTGTTCCTGGGAAAGGACTGTGAAAATGCTGAGCGAGCTCTCAAGCTTCTTATTTGTTCATCTAGGTAGAAACTCTACTGAGCAAATTGTCAGGCATTTTAGGGTGTGTTTCAGATTCTTGCTCTCCTAAGTTGTTTTTCAGCTTCGTACTTGAAAGATACGTTTTATATGCTCATTTTGTCAGTTATTGTCAAAACTTGCAAACAAAACTGATTTCACTGCTTAATCAAATTTGCTAACTACAGGCTAGTTCATATCTAAATGCATTAAACATTAGAAAATTACATTATAAAGACAAGACAAGTCCTCCTAAATATGCACTGTAACGTATAATCTTGACACAAGCTGACTGCACCCAAGTTTCTCAAAGCAGAAATTCAATATAGTCAGTGCACAGTTCTTGTGGGCTGTGAACACATTGAAAGCAGTAAAATCGAAGAACGAGATAAGAGTGAAAGCATCATGCAATCTCTGTTTTCAAGATTAGTAATTATTTATTTTGAGTATACCAGATTTTAAGAGTATGGCTGCAATGCAAACTGCTGGAAAATTTGAAAATTTGCAAGTTAAAAGTACACACCATATGGCCAATCTGACATAATGATTTCCTGATGTCCTGGATTCAAATTCATATCCTCTTTGAAGGATATGCTAAACTTCACATGAAATCAATGCTAAATACAATCAGTGATTTCTGTGAAACCATGCCAGAGAGGAATAAAGGGTTACACACAAAGGATTACACCTTGCTGCTTGGTATACAGGCTGCGTTTTTGCAGCTTGAAGTGCGTTCCCCGGTTGGCATAAAATCACATAGCAAAAAACAGCAGTATTCTTCAGTCTCCTGGTAGGAAGGATGTTGCAGGCATTTTTCAGAAAGAAAACATATTAGGAAGAATTTCTTCTCAGAAAGAGTTCTTAGGCACTGGAACAGGCAGCCCATGGAAGGGGTGGAATCACCATCCCTGGTGGTGTTTAAGGGTGGATGTAGTGCTTTGGGATCTCATTTAGAGGGTAATGTTTGTGGTAGGTGGACAATCTTAGAAGTATTTTTCAACCTTAGTGGTTCTATGATTCAAATAAATCTACAAAATAAATATTAGTCTTAAGGGAAGAGAAAAAGTGCATCCAAGGTGTCCCATGGCTAAGGCGCCTCTTGCTGTAAGGGTACAAAGCTTACTAGTCAAAGAGGGATGAAGAACATCTAAACATAACATAAACATCTAAAAATAAACCTGGGAATTCTCTTCACTGCATACAAAAAATAACCACTGAGTTATTAGTATCAGTTGGAATAACCAGGGGGAATCTTGGGGGACAGAGAGGGTGGCAGAAACAGAGCTGCACTATGGTGGGTTAATTCTCTTGCATTGGCCAGGGTTGCTGCGTGGGAAGCAGCTTTGTCCTCCTTCACTGTGTAAGCTCTAATGCACTTGTAGTCAGCACCTGGTTTTTGGAAAATGATATTTCTTTTTAGCTCCAAACTAGCAGCATTGCCAAACACTTCCTCCTGCCATTTATTTTAGGCTGATTTTGCTGTTGCTTAACCCCTTCTGATAGGAGATCTCTCTCTTGGTCTGAAGTGTAGCTTTAGTTGAGCTAGCAATGCTTTTTACCTACAAATTCAATCTGACAGAATAAGGGACAGAAACTGGAATGTGCCAAACATTTTCCCTAACAAATATCTTCTATTTAGCCACATCCTTCAAACCCAAGAGGAAGAAAGGGTTTTTAAGACAAAGCTAATCTTTTGCTGGGGTGAGGAAAATCTCTCTCCAGCAGTAAGAAGTCTGTGTTCCCAGGATGATAACTCTTATAAGAGCACCTTCCAAATCAGAATGATCAGAAAATGCATTTGAAATGAACTCCTGCCAATGCCGAAGGCTCTAATATGTTTCCACAGAAATCTTTATACTTCTGTCCAAAAAAAAAAAAAACCAACAAACAAACCCCCCCCAAAAATGCTTAAATTAAAATGCAATTGCTGGCACTTTAGCTGAAATCCATTTCATTTCATCTGCCTTGGTATGGACTGCTGTGTTATAATCTTGTTTACTCCGAATATTCCCCAGCACACTCCATGCAAGGCTACCAAGGCATAAGGAATTTTGGACTTCCCAAAAATCCAGGTCACAAACACTTTCATCTCACCCAGTACATGAAACTGCCAAAACACTGATGTTGAAGTGAACTATGTTTGGTATCAAAACACATATTTTTAATCATGCATTGTCCAGCATGACTATTGATCACATTCAACCCCTCTGCATGGCATACTTAGGTAGGATCTTGTTTTCCTTCACCCAGAAGAGGGCTGTGCCAACTGCATCCTGTCTACTGTGGGAAACCTGTGCACAAAGTGGTAGTTGGGTAGTCACTTTCTAACTGCTTGCAGGCAGACAGTTAAACACACAAGCATTCAAATTCCTATGCATGGCTAGGCTGTAAAAATGCAGGTGTAGATTCCCTTGAAAGTCTGACTGGAAACCTGCTGTGCAGAGTACCTTTTTCTATTTAGCATTCTGAACCTGCATCTTAAATAAACAGGCTAGAAATGTTAAACTCAACAGGATAAACTGAAATGTGAGTACTGTCCTCTGTCACTCTCCCTCAATCACTCCACAAAGACCCCTTCTTCAGCTTATGACACATGCCCTTCACTCAGGTGGAAGTTATTCTTTGTGTTATGCTGTCTCTTTAACTATTTTACAGACAAATATAAATGCAGAATCACAAAGAAGTAATGGGCCCAAGTACCTCAGCATGTGCCCTAACTTGGCAAGAGAAAGAGAAATCATTTATTTTAGCAACAGACAAAAAATAAGCATAACGTGGGTATTTTGCTGAACAGATGCAATGCAGTATCAGCTCTAACAGGAAAAGGAGGAAAGGAGAAGGACTTTTGCATACATACATATTTTTTAAGTATCATTTCTGGTTCTGAATTTCAGAAAACATGCAGATATTCTTCTCCTATCCACACAAATTATTCTTCTGTAGGTCTGGTTATCTCAAACACCTTTTATAACTGTATAATATGAAAAGCTTACACTTTTTTTTCAGTAACAGGGTCTATTTTGTACATTTGGCTTAACTTACAAATTACCAAATTGCTTATTGGTTATTTCTGTGGAATATATTTGTGTTATCTTTGAGTATGAATCCAAAGACGCATTTCCAGAAGAAAAGAAGCACAGGAAAACACCAGCTACTTGAGGTAAGTGGCCTAAACAGATAACATGCGGGGGTCAGAAGGCCATTAAAAGAACTCTTTCAAGGGATTAAGTGGTAGATCAGTCAATTATAGATGTGCAAGATACTGGAGTGAGAAAGCATTTCTATCTGCTTTTATCACAGTCTTTTTAAACTAAATAATGACATGTAAATATTCCATGGAACAGAACTTCCAGTTAACTAAATGTACAAAATAGAGAGCGGAGATGGAGCACCAGAGAGCAGCAGTGTCTTTGTAACATACCTGAAGGGTCAGTAGCTAGTAATATACTATTCTAAATATGTGTTCAGATGCATAATCTCTCTAGTACTTTTCCACTGTGCAATAACTTTCCTCGTACAGCATTCTTGAACTAAAACCTGCAACCCAGTGAAACATGAATATATTGGAGAAGACAGTCTGAGCTTTTCAATTATATGTTCACAAAAATAAAAAAACTTTGACAGTGAAAGGTTTCTAGGGAATCAAGATCTGCCATAAGCCTACCAAAAACTGCTATACATGGCCATATGTATTTGTACAGCTGTACTTTCATTTTTAAGTCCAGCTGATGTAGAAAACACAAATGATGAAGTACAGAAATCAATTTGAAGTAAAGAATTTAAGAAACATATCCACTTTATGCTGCTAGCAATTTCTGAAAAATGTAAAGGACACAGAAGAGTGGCACACACCTACTGCACTATACACAATTGCATGGTACGTAGGTTGCTCCAAAAGTAATGCTTCCTATTTATTTCCTTACAAACTACAACAGATACAAAGAGCAAAGTAGCATTATTTGATAGAGCAAATTCTGAGCTACAAAACAATAGTCAACATAGTCACCGCCATTAGCTATGTATTTTCATCGGCCATGAACAAGAGCCTGAATACCATGCTTGTCAAAATCTGCACCAGCAGAGGTGACCCACCATTGTTTTCACTACTGCCGAAATGCAACATCCACCACCTTTCTGTGCTTACATTCACTGTTTTGTCTCCATAAATATTCATCAAACATTGGTTTGATTGTTTGTTTGTTGGAAGAATTCAATTCTACACCTTTGCTTTATCCACACTTCTATGTCACATGCCATTCTGTCAGTGCGCCTCTCTGCTGCCATCTGTCACACTACAACAAAATGTAACAGAATACTGATGGGAAGGTTCAACCCCTACTGCCATATTACCAACACCCATCTCTGACATCATGGGCTAACACAGTAAAATAGAAAGTATTATGTTCAGCGCAGCTCTTGTACTTCAGCACTACTGAGTAGAAAAAAATCATGCAATTATATATTTTGTCAGCGTGGTACCACATGTATGGTATGATGGTATCAGAATAAATATAAGGGAAACAGAATGTCAAAGTGATTTCTTTTTCTCTTAAACAGCTTTATATTGTTAAGACTGTTAAGATTAACTAATTTATATTGAAGACATTGAGAAAAAACATGTCTGCAATGAAGCCATCACAATTGCTTTTGTTATGGACATACACACTCAAATTTACACCAAAAGTCAGACTTCCTAAGTATACTCATTTTATGTTTCTTCTAAATGTTACTGAAAATCTGCCAAACCTGGAAGTTGCATCTCATGGACATATAACCTGAGCATTAAAAAAAAATCAGTGAAGCAGGCTCTGCTTCATGAACAACATACAAAAACTCTGCTACAGCAATGGTCTGTGACTATCACCCATCATTTTACTTTGTAAGCCTCCACACCATTTCAAATTTACCCCAATTCATGATGCTGCTCTCAGTTCCCTTAAGTCATCATTGCACCCAATTGTCTAATTTTTAGGTTGGTTGATGGTCATCTAAGGCCTTGGCAAAAATATTTTTAACTTTAATCACTTCATATCAGATGAGGAAGTGCTGTTATTTCATCAAAGATTGGCAGCCCACCCATCTCTTCCCCTCACTATTCTTGATTTTGACACATAGAGCCTAGGTACCCAACCACCTGGCAGATGAACATGCAGGCCTGGAGGATCTGGCACTCTGCTTTGTTAATTACACTAGGGGAAAGTAAGAATAAATACTGTTCACCTTACATGGTGGTAAATGACATATCCACCAGCAAGGCAGCAGCAAGTTAGGTTTTGAGATTTATCTGACTGCTCTGCACCTTTATATGATGAATATCACCAACATAAACTGCTGGCCTTCTTTTACCATTCAGGAAGATAATGCTAAAGTTCTGTTTTTTTTTTTTTGTTTTTTTTTTTTTTCATGGGTCTTGCTGGAAAAGAGTCTGCAGAAAATAGTTCAATATGCAGAGTTGCCACTTGAAAATATGCTTCAGTTGAAGTTGCACTGAAACTGGAATTCAAGGCTATACCAAAGCCTTTGGGAACATATTTATTGATGGCTTTCCAATTTGGCTTATCATCCTTTATTCTCCGTCCATTCCCCTTACCATCCTAAGGCATTCTCAAGTTTTAAAATATGTTCAAGATCAATTTCTGGAACAAAATACTGGTTTTGTTTCACAATCTGCCAAAACAAAACTTATTTCTTATGAACCTGAGCTTTTAATCTTACTTCCTCCCAACAACAATCTTGAACATCCAAAATAAACCCCTTTAGTATTCCTTATCCTAATCACTAAATTCCTCCTTCCTAGCACTCTCAGATCTCTTTTCCTGTGGCTTCTAATTATCAAGAAGGGAAGAAATACTCTCACTCCACCCCTTTCTTTATTTGTTCTCAACAATTACCACAACATATGAACATTCATAATTTCATAAAATTTAGTAGCTCAGACTGAGAATGAGTTCTTGTCTGTATTAGTCTTTTTAGGAGATATTTGTAGAGCTTTATCCACATTAAAATTTGAAATGCCTTTATAATATTCCACCTTTTGACAGTTAACTTTCTAAGTTTAAGGTAGACTAGATTTATTTTGATGTCAGTTTTGAGCAACAAGCACATCCAATGGCCAATTGAACATAAGGATCCTAGACTTGGGCTAACTTTACACTGGGAAGAAAAAGTACTACTCCCTTGTGTCTGGAAAGTGAGAAATACCTTTTAACTAGCTCTCAGTTATCCGAAGTTATGTGACTTTAGTCTTATACTATTGTCTGAGTAATAGTTTCATTTTCTGGTAGGCATTTGAGTAGTCAGAGTAACTAATATTCTCCGATAAAATATTATATGGGTGAGGAATTGAGAGTGTGCTACCATTCAAAAATTTGCATTTGATGTTTGGTTTCTTTTCAAACGTAAGATGTATACATAAATAACTGATATAATTCAAACATAAAGCAGAAGGTTTTGGTTTTTTTTTTATAACTATCCATGAACATGAAGGGAGATTGAATTCTGCTTCATGGAAAAGTCTTTTCTAAAGTTTTGAGAAAGAACGAATAGCCATAATATTTTTTTTTTTTTTTTTCTTCTGGGAGAAGACAACAGTAATTTATTTTCTACTATTGCCTGAAAGAGCTAAGAAACAAAGAAAAAAATTTGTACATAATGCTTTTCAGTAACTGATTGGAGCCACGGCTGATTTAACACCTTTGAAATGGTAGAACATGAGTATTTAAAGAACAAATGACACTGGCTCTCTGTGGCCAACACTATGTAGTAGTTCTCTCATGGATGCTATTATGTTGCCTATATGCAGTAATAAAAACTTGTCTCACTGAAAGAACAATTTGGCCACAGCAAAATCTATGACAAATTGATGATTCCCCTGACTAATACTAGCTCTAACTGTAAACTGTAAACCAGCAAAAGTAATCACAGATTACCACCATTCACAGAAGCAGTTGTTGAGGAGCAAAGTAGTGAATGTCATGTAGCAATGTGGATACAGTGAGAATATATCAGTTGCTGCAGCAGTGTGTTTTAGACTCCATGACTCCATACACACATTCTATTTTACTTATCTGTCACTCCTTAATGTAATTTAATAAGATGAAATACTAGACAGATTTTGTGGTAATTAGAGTCGCTTCACTTAGCAGATAGAGTCATGTGACAAAAAGGTTGACAGACTTACTAAAAGAAGATCAGCAAATAAGTATGTTTTCAGCAAATGCTTCACTTTGTATTACTAGTAAAACAAGATGCATGTCTGAAACAGTTCTACAGAAATATTCAAATCAGAATAAAGATTCACATACACCAGACACTCTACATAAAAATATGTAAATGTAAAAAAAGTTGTTTGAGTAGCTTGTAAAATCTGAAGACTTGCATATTCAGATCATTCAGTTACAAACACTGCTTAAACAGCTAATATGAGTTGCTTAGAATCATTTACTCCTAAGTACTCAAAAGTACTCTATGCAGCCATCCATAGGCATATCACATCTATCGTGTATCAAAACCAAAGTTCTCCTAAGATCTGATCTCTTAAGTGAGACCTGGACTCTAACCACTCTCACGCCACTTTGAGTTCACAACAAGCTAAAACTCTCAATTTTCTCATAGTAGGATAATCTCATGCCATTAGAATTATCCTTCCTCATACCTAAGACTGTTTAAATGAGTTGAGAGAGGCAACTGTACTTTCAACTTCAGTATCAGCCCCATCTGCATGTTGTCTTAAAGATGAGCTGGATCAGGTCAGTCTTTAACAGCTTCATCTGCATCACATTTCCACCAGAGTACTCTTTAGAGCAAACCTGGACTCAGGCCAAGGAGGCTGGCCCAACTGCAGTTCCATCCATTTGCACCGTACTATTAGAAAATCATCAAAAACTGAATCTACCAAATTTGTTTCAAATCTATAAATAAAAATGCACACTGAAAGCAAGCATGCTCTCTAATGGCTACACATCTCAAAGGAGTCTGAGCACACTACATTAAAACAAAGCACTAAGGAAATCATACTTGATTTCCTACTCCTAGTTTTGGGTCAACTCATATACAGTACAGTTAATGTCAGGTAAAATTAAATATCATCTGCATTTCTGTTGTCAAAATTGAGCCCAAGATGGCATTTATGTGTACATGAATTTGAAGTTCAGAGGTATCAAGAACTGCCAGCCTGAATACATTTTTTATTTTTTATTTTGATCCAGATGACTTTTCTGAACAGGTTGTTTCTTCATTTCTATGAATAAGGACAGAGAATTCAGATGGAGAATCTTATGGAATCCCAAATTCTGTGAGTAAACAGTTTAAGTTTACATTATTTGGCTGGTTGTTTAGTTTTATTTACTTACTTTATCTGCATAAAAGAAACAATGACAGAGAAAGGCACATTGGGAATTACCATGCAAATAAAATTACACTTGAATTAACAAGCTGAAATTAGGGAAGTAATTTGTTGTGTTGCTAATCATCCTTAATGTAATCAGCTTATATTTGTTTCTCGGCCTCCAAATCATTAGTATGACTACATACTACATACTGGGAATTTGTTGGATCCTGTGCACGACCACAAATGCATCTGATAGTCCAACTTTCACTGGGTGGTTCGTTGAGCTTATCTGTGACACAGCAACAGGAATCTGGAAGACAAAAAAGGAAGACACGCATGAACAATTGAACTAAAAAAATTGAGCCAAAAACTAACAATATTTTCAGAATGAACACTTAGCCATTGTAACTTTATATAAGTATGTAATATAATACACCAAATTATGAGTAAGGATGTATTAAAGATTGAAAATAGAGTTTTCAATTTTATTTTGTCCCGCTTCATTTAGAATTTTATATAACAATATTCTAATCAAAATTTAGAGGTGGGATATAGTTAATAATGACAGAGAAAAGAGCAGGAATTTTCAGTAATTTATTTCCTCCAGTTGAAGACAAATTGGTATGAGGTGCTAGTATCAGACATGGAGGAGGCATTACCTCTTGTCTGCTATTAAACACTTGAATAGAAAGTTCAGTTTGGGATGAGAAAATAAAAATTTATGACTCAGGTAACTTGCACTGAAAAGTGTTTTACAATCTATTTGAAAATATTTTTAGTCTGAGGATGTTCATATTCAACATATTTTGGAGTAGCAGGGAAATTGTTCTAGAAAATTTTGAAAATGTCAGATATACATTGACATCTACAGCAAGGAATAAAAGGACTTAGAGAGTTATCTACTAGTCCAGCTTTACAGAGCAGAGATATTGATGCCAGGTAACATAGTTTTATGAAAGTAGGCGTTATCAAATTTTATTTCATTTTTTGGAGAAGACTGCAGCTTTGGCTGATCATTGCATATTTGAATTGTATAGTAGAATTCTGTAAGGTTTTTACTTAGTGACAAGTAAAATGTATATAATATTAATATAGTTAATCAGACTAATCACAAACTTATCCATCATCAAAGGATCATATTTTCTTAAAGTCTAGGAAGGAAACATAAATTTACTGCCTACCAGTTCCTCAAATGATACTCATAGAGTAAAAATAGTGAAATGTTTGGATGAATTAGCAAATTAGAACTTGTGAAAATTATAAAGTTACAGCTTATATAACAAAGTGTGAAGTAGAAGTCAGGGGATCATTTTCTGGAAATCAACAGTTCTGAAAGGATTTTTGGGATGGTAGTGAATGAGCAACACCAGTTTTCAGAGGAGTAATCAGAGCAAGAAACTTAATTGATGTGATATCTGATTACATAAACAGTGAAATACAACCTAAGAGTGACGTTGCTGCTTTTATGCACATCAGATAACTACTGAAGTTTTACACAGAATTTAGGAGGGTCTATTTCTTGAAAAGATTCTGAAAACTAAAGGAAGATCAAGAGTCACAAAAATCATTTGAAAGCTTCTGTAGTTCTCAATTGCCATTAATACTGTTAAAGAGATTGATTTGTCTTCTCCAAAGAAAGTGGAACACTGACTTGATTTCCATGAACAAGTACTGCCATGAGGAGAAATAACTCTAGGGCTAAAAAATTTTTGCATTCAGTACAGAAAGGTACAACCAGAAGCTGAAAACTGCACACAGTTTCAAAGTAGAATAAGATTTCCATGATTGATAGTTGTTAACCACTGGGATAAACTGCCAAAGGAAATTATCACACTCTACCCACTGCTGCTTTCAAATCACAGCTGGATATCTTATTTTTGAAAGCTAGCCTATAGTTAACCAGGAATTACTAGACTGAAGACAGAAGAAACTGGATCAGATGTTACAGACTGAGATGCAAGGTGCTAACTCAGCTAATCTAATAGTATACTCTGGTTTATCTATGTGAAAATAACAGAACTATACTGTTGGACAGTGTTTTTCACTTGTCAGATAAAATCTAAAGAAAAAACCTTTAATAATCCAGTGAATGAGGGTTCAGTATTGTCTTTTTTCCAACCAACCAACAATGATATGTTTTCTTGTATTTGAGTTTAAATGTAGTTTGTTTTTCCTTTTCCTTGTTCCCAAAATATCCTTTAGCTTTGATTTCACTAGAATCAGGCTAGGAAAAGTTAAATTTGAGAAAATCAACATAAAAAGTGAGTTCTAGTAAATTAAATACTGTCATAAATTTCAAATTATTTTACATTCTCTACAATCTGTGAATTTGTACTGTTTTGGCTGCATTTATCTGGAGCTTCTTGTATACCTGATCTACAAGAAATAGTTTGGTAATACTGCTATTTTTACATCATTTTAAGGTTGGCTTGTATCAGCTATTAGATAAGCTTGTATCAGCTCGGCTGCGATGCATATATTGGAGAATGTGATATATGATATTGAAAAGACATACTTTCAAAGTCCTCCAAATAAAAGACTTACAGAGTTCATAACAAGTCTATAAATTTTCTTTAGCATGAACACAAGCAAAACAAGGGAAAATTATTCAGAATCTCAGAATACTTTAGAGAAATACATACATTAATGATGAGGGAAACTGTCTTGAAAGATTTTGAGAACACAATATCAAGTCAGAATATCAAGTCACTGGTTTGAAGAACGCAATGACTATTTCTCTTTCAAGTTAGGAAGGAAATGAAGCAAATGAAGAAAGGAATCAGTTTAGAGATACAAAATAAAGCTGGAACTGGTGTTCAGATAGGCGTATGATCTGCAAAGTGTGCTGGAAAAATGGCAGCAACTTTAAAAAGCTGTTGAAATTCTGAATATGTATATGTAAGATAAGGAAGTCTCACAAGTTAAATGAGTGTAGCCAGCTCTTCAAACTGTGATATAACTTACGTCCAGTAAGTAGTCATATGGAGCAAAAATGTAAAGTAGAGGTAATTAATAACCTAAGAAAAACTCTTGAAAAACTGCAGCGTAATTAAATCTGCATTTTCAAATGCATATTTTTATTCTTATAATAGGGGGAAATAAATGATTTTACAGAAAAAACATTTAAGTCTATCAGTGATGAGTGTACTGAGCTTACAGGTGAAGTCTTTTCAATGAGATGAAAGGATAAAGTGGACATTTACCATATTATGTATTTTTAGAGAATACACCCTTTTGAAAGGAATCTTATGATAAGTGACATGTTTTTTTATTGAAAACTTCATGCATACACAGTTAGTAAGCAAATAGCTACTGTTCTGAATCTCTCCTTTGAATGACAAGACACGTCATGACAGGCTGACAAGTTGAACAGTTGAGCAAGGAGTTTTATGACATTGTATAAGGATGATGGATTTTAACCAGAATCATTCCAAAATATATGTTGGTTCTACCATCAACAATATGAACTCTTGTACTGTGTAAATCACAGGTATATGAATGAGCTTCCCAAATGCTTTGGGGACGCTGACATCTCTATTACTGATTAAGTAATTCAACAACAGGGAGAATACTTAGAATTTATGCTGAATTCCATTCTTCCTTAGGCACGGTAATCTAGACAGTATTTTCCATCTGAGAACTCCCAAATTTTTTTCTTTTCAACTTTTCTCTGAGGGCTAGTCAGAATCTTACTCTTCCAAAAAAAAAAAAAAAAAAAAAAAAAAGAAAAGAATAAAATAATGGCCTCTGACCTTATTCTGAAGGAGATGGTAAGCAGGGTGCAATTACTGCCCCACATCAAACCCGAGTCAAAGATAAGAGCCAGAGTAAGCTGCAAAATAATAATTAGGAATACAATAGTACTTATATAGGATTTCCATTGCCAGTTTCCTCAACAAATATTAAAGACCAAATTGCATGAAACTTATTTTGGGGTTTTAAGTTGAATAAACTGAACACCTCATAAAACCAAAGATCCTACTTCCATATTAATATTTTTGATAATAATAATAACAGAGACAAAAAAGTGCAAAAAATGTATAATGCAGGCAGAATATTTGTTCAGATTGTTCAATTTTTAAATTTTCTATTAACAATCAGGAGGCTTGGAGTGTTTGGAGCCTCAAAATGAAATATATTCTATCACATATAGCAGGAAAATCAATTTTATACAAGTGCCAGTAACTAATCACACACATTCACTTCTGCCTACTTGTACAGTAGAAAGGAACACTAAGTCTCAGAATTATATTATCACTTCACATTTTGGGCAACCTGAACAGGCATTTCAACTTTTATAAAGGTTTCTGGATAAACAGGGAGTCATTGCTATTTAAATGAACAAAGTAAGCCTTCAAGTGAGTGAAATTCAGAAAAATATCATAAACCATTAACAAAGTCATTGGTACTTCTGCCTAATTTGTCCTGCATTAATCACAGAGGAAAACAAAACAAAGTGTGTGGAACATTATGCACTAGCAGGAAAAGATTATAATGAATAGTCACATTGTTCAAGAAGAAAAAAGAGTTCCTGAAAACTGAACTTCTGAGAAATTGATAATATAAAAAAAGTACTTGCTACTAAATTATACAAAAGTATTCATTTGCAGGAAATACTCTTTTTTTCTGTCTATTGGATAGATTGTTCAGTACCTTCAGTATTTTACACATAGCAGAGGTGTATCACCTCCTGCAACTGACATATTAAACACTTGCCAGAACGCCAACTAATGGTGTAAGCAAAGTGTTACTTAAAATGAAGATATGTGCCTGTTAAGCAAACTAAATTGGGAAATAAATACATATTTGACTTGCTTTTGGACCTTGCCATATTTTCTTTCCAAAAAGGAACAGAAAAAACTGTACCCAGTACATAAAAATTGCTTGGATATTCCCACTGTAATTCAATGCTGATATTCATTCTAATATTATGTTGATATTAATTCAGACCTTATGCCAATATTATCTGACATTCTGATATTAATGCTAAACTGAATCCAATATTTATGTACAGGAAGAATATCAGATAAACAGATTAGCAAACACAATAGTTATGATTTTTAGTAGGGCTAGGTTCACCTTTGCAAAGCATTTAAGAATTAGACAAAATACCAAACTAAATCTCGTGCATTTCAACTAGTTTTCTCATTTTGAAAGCTTGACTGCATAGCTACTTCACTTACTCATTCACTTTTCTGAAAGATATTCAGATGTCTCCAGATTTCACAATTTTTGTGGCTCGGCTTCTTTTCCACATTTTTATTTCTTTTAGAATCTATTATGGATCCCAGATAACAAGCATGCATTTCAGACTGTTTCCTGCTAGGCAAACTACAGAACACAGAAAATTGGACAGATCTCCCTGACTCTCAGCAGACTCTAGCCAAGACCTTGCTTTCGTTATCAACACCAGCTTTATGAGATAGCAAATGTGATTTGGAAGCAGGAAGGAAATGAAGAGGGAATCTCAAATAGTTTGAATAAATCATAAATAAAAGGTAAAATCTAGTTCCTATTTGTATTTTCATTAAATGTATAATCCAAGTTATTTTATAAGTGGATTCTTCAGGATAAACTCTCATTGTCACTCACAGAGTCCCTGAGGGATGCTTTATAATACCACTGGCAACCTGTGTGATACATGTCTTGCACTGATGTTTCAGCTTGAAAGCTTCCTATGACAATGCAGTGAATCCCTCACAGGTTTGCCATAGATCACTGTCATTTTTGATGAAATGTGATGTTAACATGAAGCGGCGCCAAAAAGATGGTAGAAATCTTCCCTTTCTACTTTCATTCATGCTAGTGAGCACTCAAATCAGTAATTTTTTGGAGTTAACGGGGCCTGTGACAATATTACACACCAGCAAGAGAAATTATTCCAGAATGGAAGATTTCTGAAAGCACTGGATTTAGAAACCAAATCAATTCCTATCTGGGTGCATAAGCTCTGGAGTTAAGATTTAATTTACAAGTGTCTCAATTTTTGTCTTTGGACAACTTGTGTTTGATCAATAATTGGAAATATTATTTCATTTTCCTGAATGAGGTAGTTTTAATGAAGTAAGGCACATGGCAAATGCAGTCTTCTAAAGATCTTATTCTCCAAATTAACTACACAAGTCCCAGTGAAATATATAATTGTAATAATTTCACAAAATTATTTGCAGAAAAACAAGTATGTAACTACTGTCCTAGAAAAGTCTCTGTCCTTGAATGAGTGCAATAGTTCTAAAGAAATTTCATTCAGGACAAGAATAATTTGTGACAGTCTGTACTGTGCAGGAATTTGAGAGGTTCCATTTCTGAGCAGTGGAAAAAAGCCATAAATTACCACATTTTAAATTCCAATTCTTTGTGTTTAAGGATTACTGTAACAGATGATCACAACCTACTCCTAGAAAGCAGACAAGGTCTGGAGGAAGTTCTCAGTAGAAACAATGAGAGCAAGAAGCCCATCCAATGCTACCACAGAACTTGCTAGGTTTATCCATACTTCATATAGCATAGTTGCTAATGAAGTGACCCATTTCCTCCCATCCTCCTAAATGAATAAAATATTCTCTGCCTGGCATTCAGCATCACTGCATTCATTTGTGCAAAATGAACACAAGATACTATCATTTTAGAGCAGCAGTTTCTATCACCAATATTAAATTCATTTTGCAGAGTTCTAGACATTGACAGAAAGGGTTCAGGATCTGATAGCCAGGAATAGCAGTTTTCTCATAACACCACCACTTTGATGATAGTTCTTAGCAAATTTATTTTAAAATTACAAATTGAAGTAATGTAACTCCCCACTTCTCAGGGCCTTGAAGGAAGGACATTTTCCGTAGTCTTCAAAAGCTTTTTTTCCTTTAAAAAGGTTTCAACAATAGGAGATAAAGATGCTTTGGTGCACAGTCATTTGACAAAGCTCAGGCTCCTCTCTGGTAACCAGAGCAAAGCTTTTCTGAAGCTGGAGTCAACATGTTAATAAAGCACATTGATGAATATTATGGCACACAATGTTCAGAAACAAACCAAGAGTAAGAGACATCAGCACATCTATAAGATAAGGAAAACCAGGTATGTGGGCATATCAGAAGTTTCTTTCATCTACAAAAATAACTCAGAATATTCTGCAGCAACCCTGTCAGCAAGGTGCAAAGACATTTATCATAAGATATTAATGCTACTAGTAGAATAACCCAGACTCCCACTAGCTTTCTAATGAAGGGGAGAGTAGTATTGCTTCATTTAGATACATGGCTTTGACACAAGCATGATAACTGAGCCTGACAGCACACAACTGGTCTGCAGCAGAGAGAGAAGAGAAACCAGATTTCCCCGAATCTGTAAAATAAGTCATATCACTAGTAACATTTTTAACGTGGAGGATAAAAATGCATTTACATATTCAAAGAAAAGTCACAATTTCTTACACTCTCCATACTGGACTGAGATTAAAATATTAAAATAATCAAAATAATGAAAATGAAAGAAAGCATTCCTTGTCCTTGCAGACTTAAACTTATCCACCTGTTGATGCTCATTTGGAGGACACTGCCTTGGAGGTATAGCCTCAGAACTAGTCTAATATTAAGAAAGATTCATCAGAAATATTGAAATATACAACAGAAATTCTAAAGGACTTGGAAAATGCACAAGATCCCAATCGAGACAGCAACATACTGAAGCTAAGAAGATAAACCAAATGGCTTTAATCTAAACAGAGTTATCACCAAAGAAATGGAAAGCCTCACAGAACAGAAGACACAAATTAGTTATTTATTATTTGAATTATAAAGACCTTGAAGACCTTCAGTAGACAAGAAATTGAAAATGTAAAAGAAAGGTAGCCTTTTAGTACTAATCTTTGATGCTAGAGTATTTAAGTTAGTTGAACAAATTGAGAATATTGCCCTACATTTCAAAGCTGGAAAAAAATCTTCAAATCAATCAAGACTTTGCTAACAACCAACACTTACAATCATACAAAATGGGCCAGCTGAAATCTAGGAGTAGCACATTTGAGCCATGTTGATGTTTTTCAAATCCATCACATGAACATCACTTTTACAATGAAGTGTAATTTTCTGCATAATAGGTGACTTAAAAGCAATATGTGGAAATGGTCTTATACAATTGAACTTAAAAACATCCATCAAAAATGGGGGAAAATTCCTGACAAGTATAAGGAGATTTTTCTACTTAAATGAAAGTTTTCTGACCCAACTTACTTCTTTGTAGCCGAAAATGATACGCCCATCATTGAGAAGGGTGGCCTGAAAAGTGAAACTGCCCAGGTTGTAATTATCCTGCAGATGAACATGGTCCCACTGGACAACTAGTGCTGTGCCTGTGAACCCCAGAGGGGGGGTAGAGAGGCAAAGGGAAGAAAAAATGTGAGAAAAATATTAACTGACTGTAGGAAAAGTACTTAACTGCAGTTACTTGAAACAAAAAACAGTGATTTTTCTATTTAGTGACTCAGCCCAGCATCTGAAGAGCCGAAGATAATACAAACATAAGTTGCAGATGAAATCTTCTTAAGGGTAGACATCACAGTGCCACAAATAACTACCTCAGCTACTCACACGAGTCTGTTAAATCAAGAGTGGCCAGATAACTTGTTTGGAGATGCATAAGAATCTCTGAAACAAAATCCAACATTCACAGGTGTGCCTCCATGGCTTTTCTTCCACTATCTACATATGATATGTTTACATATATACACCATGAAGACTTCGAAAAGCAATGTGCTAATAACACATCTGTTTTGTGAAACTTATTATTTGAAGAACTCATATTCTTCCATTAACTATGCATTAATATAAATAGTGTTAATTTTTTTCTGCATAGTGCAAACCCTTGTTGAGGCTCTGCAACTTGAAAAATATTAGGAACCGGCAATAAATAAATATAGCTTGAATTTAAACCACAATTCATAGCTGGAGTAAATATTAAGTCTGGTGTGCAGAGATTTACTTGTAAGAGACTTGTTAATATTCATAGGAGTTCTCTTGTTGAATATCCGCTTACTGCAATAAAAATGTACCCCAAGTGACTTGCATATCCTCTGAGCATGTTGTACAGATGTTGAGGGTTACAGATACTTTCAGGTAGCTTGGCTGAAAGACACTTATCACCAGAGTTGTGTTTACTGAAAATGTTTCTTTTTTTTGTCTCCAAGACTATACACTGTACCCAACATATTATTGTTTTGGTGCTAATGGAAGTTATGTGCTTTGATTCACAACACTTTAATTTTGTTTCTTGCAGAGTGTTCAGGGTAGCTCAGTTTGCTACTAGACAAGTATTTTTGATATATCCTTGAAATATTGTTTGTTACAGATCTTCAGAGTTGTAACTTTTATTAATATATCTGGTCAAAGGATGTCACTGAACTATGAGCATGCAAATTTTTAGTGCATACTGCAGTAAGTACATTGCATCATTGGCCCATGTGTCTTTCATAAATACAGCACATGCTCAGTAATTTGAGCATTCTTCTCTGCATTTTTCCTATTGCAATCAAATTTATTAACTGTTAATTATTAATTCTTATTGGAATATACTAAATTTCATTTTAAAGGAATGTAGAGGGACTGCTAAAACTATTGGAGCAAAAATAGAAACATTTATAGCCAGTCCAGAAGTCAGAATACCAAACTAAAGCGGAGGTCAGCTTCCTCCAAAACACTGTCTCCTCATTCCCAAGGACACTTGTGTAGGTTCATGTGAATGTAGGCAATTGCCTCCACAATGGTGGACAGGTCACCACACTCTGTGCTTTTCCAATACAGATGCAGTTCTAACCCAGCACACTTGCCCAGAGGGATAAGACAGTAATGAATATGTTATAAGGAGCTGAAGAGACAACTCACACTTTTAAAAAAATCTAGGGTAAGATGGCAAATTCTTTGTCCCAAAGAACCTTTGGTCCTAAAGATCATCATAACTTATGCATGAGGAAGAATGTAAAATTTCAAAAATATATTCAACCCTGTGATAGAAGCTAATGAATCTTGTATGGAATACAATGATAATCAATAGTATCTTTCCCAGAATATTGTAATTCTTTCAGGAAAGATGACAAATCTCAGGCCATGGTCTCAGATAATGTAAAAAATGAAAACAGTTATTTTTTTTCTTAGAATATTCAAGGACTAATATATTCTCATGCAACTCTGTTGAATTCTTAACAACTAAGGACGAGAATGTGAGAAATTTATGACTTGGTTAAAATAGTGACAGGATATATATTGATCACGGACCTGAAGAATAAAAATGTACACACCTGATTGTAAATAGGATGTATTATTGGACATGTTCTTAATCTTTGTTTTAATTCACTGTGCACAACCATACAAAGGATGGTACAGACTTATCAAGGAACACTTAAAAAAAAAAAACAGATTTTTTGATATTATCCCTAGGTTTTAAATTAAGAGTGAAGAATAAGTGACATTGCATTCAACCACTAAAGTCCTGAGGTAAGACAGCTGAATGCCATTTAATCACATACGTTATGTTTTCAAAATATTAATTATAACCGAATTCATGAAAAAACCTCCACACTTTTAAGGCACCTGAAATATTTTACAGAGTTTTGACTTAGCAAACGTTGCAGTTTGCCTTTTAACCCTTCAATTTTTTCTACAGGGGACTGCTGAGAACACATGGTATAGATGAGCGTATTGGATTCCAATCCTGGAACTCCATGGACACTCAGTCTTTGACAGGTTTATTAACCTTATACCTGCCCTTCTTCTGTATAGACTTGGTATTACACTCTACGAATACTTTTTATTTCCATTTTAGACAAGGGGCTGGACAGTATTTTCTGTATAATTTTTCAAGTAACAGGAACTTATACTTTTATAGAAGTCAGGTCTTTCCTTTTAAAATTGGTAAAACACATTGCTAGTTTATGTACTTTGATACATGACAGCAATCTACCCAATTAGGATAAAGAACTGATGAATCTCTAACCATTTTATAGATAAAGAAATTTTTTGGATGTCTAGCCACATGGTTTAAATAGCCTGTGAGTTTATAAAAATAGATACTGAAAAAAATCTTCAGTTTCTCCTTCAAAAATATTTAGGAAAATATGAAGAATCAAGGGACACAGATGCATTTATTTATGAAGGACTACTACATACCATTATCAAAGTATCTGACTGTTGAATTTCTTGATACACTGGGATCAAAATTTGCCATTAAGGGTGCAATGTATTGTGTAGCTGTTAGCATTCGATGCACAACTTCTCCAGTATATATGAAACCTACAATAAAGAAAAAAATATTGTGACTATTTCAGTAACTTCTGAAAAGATTTAATAGAATAGCAGGTTTAAACAGGCATTGCCAGAGCAGTAAAGGGTCTTCTGAGAGAAATTTATCCCACCACCAATTTTGTAGTGAATTAAATAAGATCTAAAACTGCAGGAAGATATCTTCTTGTCAGAAGAACAAGATCCAAGAAAAACAATTGAACCACTACTTCAAGAAGACATTTTCCATACAGAAAAAGAACACAAAAACAGAGCAAACACAAGGAAGGCAAATTCCAGTTATGGACAAAAGGCAGATATATGGCATTATCAAAATGAGTCATTTACCACTATGTATATTCCATAGTTTTTTCCACACCTTCCAGCAATCTGCCTTTTTGCTATTTATTTATCTACATATTTGTTTTTGTAAATTATTACCTCTTCAGAACTTGGGATAATCTTTTCTCCTGTTTGTAGAGAAACAGAGTAAGATACAAATTCAGACAACCAGAAGCGCCAATCTTTAAAAAAAAATAAAATGAGGAGTGGAACAAGTAGGCTTTTTTCATGATTGTAAGCCAAGATGTAATTCTGGAACATTCTCTGCGTTGTCAGATCTCACCAGTTTTTCCCGCTCATCCCCAAATCCACAACAGTCTTCAGACAATTGTACATCCTGGGTTGCTTCCATCAGCAGCTCTCACTTAAAAACTCTACCTAGTTTGGAATTCAAGTATTTCCTCTGAGGAAAAACAGTCATCTGTGCACTTAAATGGCAGAAAAACCTTGCCATTTTGAACAGTTTATGCTCTACAAATAAACTTGCATTAAGGTTCATGAACTCCAACTAAACAGAGGGACTAACATCTTTAAATGCCAAACACAGTCTGACTTCAGAACTTTAATTCCACTGTAGTGTCTATTCTTAAATTCTATCTATTAAGTTCTTTTTGAAAAATTCTGTTACCAAGGTGGTGATCTAGGCAACCTTTACATCATTTAAAGCACACCTATGTATTCAAAGAACACAGCATTTTAACGTCCAATCTACTAAATCCTAGAATGAAACCTTTTCTCTTTTGCTAATCGACACAGAGAAAAGACATTTAAAAAATGAAAAACACTCACACATATTTACAAGTCATTCATAGACTTCATTAGTCATCGTTTTAAGGTAGCCAGCAGTCCTGTCAAAGCATAGTCCATGAAATGCATTTCATTTTTTTCCTGTTTATTGCTACATACTTCTAAAATATCACTGCCTTGAGAACCACTTCCTCCTGTCTATTTAGATATTTTAAATAAATAAAATTTCATAAAATATTTGTGCTTTGTATTATTTCCTTGGTCATGTATGCTTGTATTTTAACACAGTCTTAGGTAGGTCTATAACCCTGAAATCACTCCTTAATATTTGAAGATAACAGAAACTCTGAAGCCATATTCCTGTGTTGCTCCTAGCCTTAATACTTCAGTACTTATTCATCTCTTATGCAATGCTCCCATCTTTACATACAGTTTCCCTTTCAGGTTTTCAATAGGAAAACAATAGGAAAACAAAAGACTTGCTTGTGTTACAACACATAACTAAGTCAATCAGCGCAGGTGATTAGTAATCAAAGAGTGTATTTCCAAGTGTTTGCTGGACACAGCTTTACTTTAGACAAAAATGAAAAGCATGAGGTGGACGATAGCTGGGAAGCAGGCAGGCCTTGCATGAAGATCATTCTAATGAGAACTCCAGTCTTGCATTGGAACAACTTGAAAAGAAACACAAAGTCATTTCAAATCATCCCACACATTCAGAGGCTGTAGCCACTGTGGAGCATGGACATTTTATCTCTGTCACTACAACTTAAAGCAGCAAATGTAAAACTAACTTATTCCTGAATGGAATTCTGTAGAAAATTGGCTAATACTATTTGTGACCTAATTTTCTGACAGTGGCAAATGCTCATGGGTTATTAATTTAGTCAGGAAGAATTTTTCAGACCTACAATTTCCTGAATCACTTAATCTCTCCTTTGTGCAAGAGGCTGGAAGTACTCTCTTCCAAATCTCTCAAGTACTATATCTAAATATGTTCCTAAACATTGGAATGTTATCAAACAGGAAAGAGTGCTCAGAATACTGTAAGTTTCGCATGAATATATAAATCTAACAAAAACAAAGGATGGACTAATGCTAAAACCAATTGAAAAATCCATGAGGATGTATTCCTACTCCTCATAATGAGCAAAAGAACAGTCACAAAAACTACGGGAAATAGATATGTAATAAATATATATTGCTACTAAACTGTCAAAACATTTTTTCTTGATACAGGACCTCAGTTGATTTCAAAATGCATTTAAGAACTCTTCACTTTGAAATATCCTCTTTATCTGATGCAATTTATAATTTTCAGCAGTAGCTTTCTTGGCTCAGGAAATTTTCCTGGAAAACTTTTGAGAAACTGGAAAACTGGTGTACTCTGTTCTAAAAGAGCACAGCTATTTCAGTAGGAGCTTTTGGGTTGGCAAACCATCTCTAACATTTCACTTAAGTTTAAACATGATAAAAAGGAGCTCTCCCATCACTTCTATTGGTTATACTAGCCTGTCATTTCAGTGGCTTAAGTGGAATAGCCCTGGATGCACATCATGATCTGAGGGCACAACTGATGAAACAAGTAATCTGAAAATAAGATTAAAACAATATGCACAGTAAGATTTCTGTGGTTTCCTTTTCCTAATCCTTGTTGCACACAAAGTCAGTATCAATTAGGACATTTTTTTATAATGTTTCCCTGCTGTGCAGAATAACAATACATACTCAAAGCAGCACAGACAATGAGGCTTTTGAAGTTGCTATTGTGCATCTATAAAGATATGACAAAACATGGGATTATGCAGGCAAAATAAAAATGAAATATCTATACTGATAATCATCTTCTCACTTCTAAGGCACTGCATGTTAGGTAACACAGAGACTGGTTTTATGTATCTGATGCTACAGTAAACTGGTTTGGTGCTTTAGCATCTAGTTGAATTAGAGCAAAAGCCAGTTTAGATTATAATATTGTGTGTGATTTTTTAAAAATTACCTAAAATAACTGGTCATACCTTAAAAGCAGAGATATACGGAGAATATACATAACTATATGCCTCTGTACTTGTGATGAGTACACTCCATGTTAGAATCTCAGCATTTCTTGAAAATTATGACTCCTTACATAATACCAGGTGGATTGAACTTTGCCAGATGCCAGCTGCACAACCTGCCATTCTTTCAAAAAGGGAAAAGATGTTCTGGCAAAAAGAAAATTTTCAGGGGAAAAAGGATGACTGCAGCTGCTAGAAAAATATAACAAAAATAATGGTATTAAATAACAGTAATAAAATAAGTCGATGTGGAATTACTCCTTGAAATAGTCATCACATTGTTCTCATAAAAAAAGCTATAAAACTGCTTGTTCTACAAAATGATCTCTGCTGGAAATAAGAATATGAGACAATATTTCTTTTTCTTCCTGAAATACCAAAGCATTTAGCAAGAATAGGAATACTCTTAACTACTTTGTTTCTACACCAGTAAGCAGTTTGACACAGACACTAAAAATAGAACTGTATTTCCTTTTTTTTCATAGAGATTGACTAAAAGTCAGATAAGTTTGGCCCAAACTTCATTAAAAAAACAAAACAAAACAAAAAAAAGAGAACTAAACTCTTACCATTATTTTTGTAATGATAGTATGTATTGGCTCATATACATTTTGTATAGAAGCATTCATATTTCCCAGTACAGACATGAATTTCAGTTTTAAAATCTACAAAGTCTATGTGTTTTAAAAGTTCACCTTCCACATTAGCTGGAACCCAACCATGTTCCAGACCATGGCAGAAAATCTTCAGCAAGCTGGTTTTGGCATAGAATGTGCTTGAAAATATTGACTCACAGGGAAGCGAAAGACAGATGATTTTTTTTTTTTTTTTTTTTTTTCCAGAAGTAGCTTAATTCCAGATTAGAGAACTGACAAGATGATTCTTGGAACTTAAGAATAAGTGAAAAATAATGTAGTAAAAAAAAAAGCAATAAAAGTGTGAGACAAGAACCTGGAGTTCAAAACAGATTTTTTTTTTTTCTTTCCTATAGAAAGAAAAGCTGTCGCATACAAAATATTAAATATAATAATAAAAAGAATTACAGGAAAGAAATGACTGCTTTGAAAAATAACTTACTTTCTTATCAGGCACCTAATGTTAAGTGAAACCATACATTAAAACTCTTATTAATAGCATAAACTGTGGTTACTTAGCTGGAAAACAAACAGCCTGCTTACAGTTAATGAACAATGAATGGTTTTGCATGAGAGAAACAATCACTGGGTGAAGGCAGTGCTTGCATTCAAGCATACAGCTCAGTGTGGGTTTACTCAAGTGCCCTTGCAGCATATAAACTAGAAGGCAAATAACAGAGCAGCTTCCAAAACAACAGAACCAGAAACGGTTTCCATAAGAGGGTAGGCTTCAACCCAGATCACCCAAGGGAAAGCCTAGATTTTAGTTTGTATATTCAAATACGAAACAGGCTTAGCAGAGATGTAGTAACACATACGCACAGTGAAATGTTTTGCTGAATAGAGGAACTATTTCTTTCATTTCTCCCAGTTCATTTTCCTATTTAAATGGGGTGAGCGCATACAACTTCTCATTTTCCTCCAAATCCCTCTGAAAGCTGTTTGTGCAGCCAAGAGAGAAAACTGCAGCAGAACTGGCAGGAGCTTCCTGATTCTCTAGCCACTTCTGCTTTGGTCTCAGCATAATCAAAGGTTTCTGAGGCAATCTGTCCTGTGATATTTCCTGTGACCCCCAAACTACCTCATGGGTAATGGTGCTTCAACTCCCTCTTTACCATTTTAGACCCAGGGTACTGATCTTTTTTGATGGAAATCAGAATCAGCACAAGTACAGTACCATATAGACAAATGTTTTCAAAATTCTCACAACTTTAATACTCGGCCTAGTAAT